ATTATTATTACTATTATTATTAATTATTTTGTTGTTGTTGTTGTTGCAAATAGATATCATTTTAAGAAGAGGAACCGATAGAAGTGGATTTACGACAGCTCATTTATAATAACGATGAAAATTCTATTCGAATGATACTTGATCGACATTTACCGTATATCCCATTTCCAGAAAATACTACACCATTAATGTATGCTGTACTATTGGCTGATATTAATATCGTAAGTAAATATTTATTTTCATTTGTAATTATTTACTTAAATTTTGCAGTTTAGAAGCAAGAAATGATATTAATTATTGTAAAATTAATCATTTAAAACAGGTGAAAATAATTCAAGAATCAAATGTTGCTGATATTAATGCTGCTGAAAATGTTTCCGGGCTTACCGCTCTCATGTTTGCTGCTATCATCGGGTATGATATGAAATTAGCAAATACTGATATGCTGATACTAATAGTGATAGTTGATAATGATATAATGATAGTAATAATAGTAGTAGTAATAGTAATTGAAATTAAAGTTAATATTTTACCATATAAAATATCATTTAAATATAATAAGGTGATAAAAGTATTTTAATTTTTCTTCATTCTAATGCAATTTTATATTGATTGTAATGTAATCGGAAATGGATTTGTGTCTTAAATTTAAAAATAATTTTTTAGTTTGATTAAAATAAATAAACAAATGCCTAAAGTTTAACTATAATTTCAAATCAATAAAAATGTTTGGATATTTAAAAAATACGAAAAAAACGATATATGTATATATAATCGATTAATGAGTGAGCTTCATTAATAATGATTAATTATCAATTAATGATCAAAAATCAAAAATCAAAAAAAAAACTTATTGATAGAAATTAATATTTTTAGAAATTATGATGTTATGGAATATTTGATAAATGTTGGTGCTGATATATCATTGATATCTCTTGATGGATTTACAGCTATTGATTATGCATTTGCTATAGGTAATATAATTTTGTTTATTTTATTAAAGTTTTTTTTTTTAATTACAAAAAAAAAAACAAAAACACATAGAGTTAATTTTGATTTAATCATAAAAAAATTTTTAATTTTATCTATTAATAATACTGATAATGTTATTGAAATGATGAATTTTATTATCATTGATAATATTTTTTTTTTTTAGGAAATATAAATGCAGATTTACTTTGTCTATTACAACAACCACTTGGACATGGTACAACAACATTATCATCACAACGTATTGATAATCATCAATATCAGCATTTAAGTCGTGTCATTTATACTAGTAAAACGAAAATTGTATGGTTGATTTTTTTTTTTTTTTTAATTTCGTCATATT